GAGAGGAGGTCGGTGATCCTGGTGGCTCCGGACAGTCCGCATGCCCGGTGGTTCCCCTTCCTGAGGGGCATGGCGGTGATGGAGCCCTGGGCCCTCCCGGACGAGCCGGGGGCTCTAGTCCAGGGGGGGGAGCCCTGTTTTCACGCCCGATAATCGGCCGCAGGCTCTGGGTTTGGAGGCTGAGAGGCGGAACCTCGTAGACCTGGGTCTTCCCCCGGCGGTGGTGGAGACCATTCAGGGGGAGAGGGCGCCGTCCACTGTGAGGGCCTACGCCACGAGGTGGAGGCTCTTCAGCGACTGGTGCGGTTCTCGCTCCTGGGATCCCAGGCGTTGCCCGCTGGAGGGGGTCCTGGGATTCCTACAGGAGCTTTTTGACAAAGGGAGGGCTGTCGCCACCTTGGCGGTGTTCGCGGCAGCCATTACCTTGGGTCACGACGGGTTCGGGGGGTTCACAGCCCGCTCTCATCCGTTGGTTAAACGTTTTCTGTGGGGGGCGCGCGGGAGGAGGCCCCCGCTCCAGAGAACGCCCCTGGTTTGGGACCTCAGGGTGGTCCTTAGGGGGCTGTCGGGTCCGCCTTTTGAACCAGCGGCGGAGGCGAGTCCCGAGTGTGTCGCTTTTAAGACGGCCCTCTTGCTGGCGTTGGCGTCTGCTAAGAAGGCGGGCGACTTGTGTGCGCTTTCCATCCATGCGTCTTGCCTGACCTTTGGAGAGGGCGGCGGCATGGTGGAATTGTGGCCCAATCCGGCTTTTCTCCAAGGTCATCACGTCGGCCTTTAGGTCGAGAGTCATCAGGATTAGGGCATTCTATCCGCCACCGCATGCCTCCCCCGAGGAGGAGCGGCGGCACCTTCTGTGTCCTGTCAGAATGCTTAGGCATTACCTGGCCATGACGTCTTCATTCCGGTTGGGTGATCAGCTGTTTGTGTGTCTGGGCCCCAAGAACAGGGGCGCCCCGCTGTCGGCTCAGCGGCTGGCGCACTGGGTCGCCACGGCGGTGCGGCGGGCGTATCAGGCGCAGGGTCTGGCCCCCCCGGTGGGTTTCAGGTTGCATTCCACGCGTGGGATGGCGGCCTCTACGGCCCTCCTCAGGGGGGCGTCGGTCGAGGACGTCTGCCGTGCGGCTTCTTGGGCGTTGTCTTCTTCTTCTTTCGTCCGGTCTTATCTTTTGGATGTGTCGGACCGGTCGGTGGCCCATTCTGTGCTGAGTGCAGCGGACTGAGTTGAGACCATTAGGTCCCTCCTCTGAGGGGGCCTTCGGTTGACTTTCCGCCCTGGTTCAGGAGCTCTTGGGAGAGGCGTCCTACAGGTGCGGTACTTATTTGTGTGCTTTGGTTGGTCAGGTAGTCCACGTCAGGAGCTCTTGGGAGAGGCGTCCTGGGACTACGGGTGACCTACGGTCTGTGTTACGTGGGGGTATCCTTGGGAGGAGTGGCCCTGTAACACGCAATTGCTTTCTGCCCTGAGTCCTCTCACTTTGTGAGGGTCTTGCTCGGGCGGAGCTCCAATCACTCTTCGCTGGCCTGCTGGGAGTACATGTTCCTACGGCCTCCGCGTTGTGTCCCACTAGCAAAGTCCTAAGGGACGTAGCACCATGACGTAGAATTAATAGTTACCTAATGTAACTTAAGGTCTACGAATAGGTGCGTAGTCCCTTAGCTACGAGCCCATCAGGCCAGCCCGGCTTGGCAGAGTTCAAGAGGGGGTGCGGCCTTGTGCAGGGGCCTTTATAGAGGAGGGTCGCTGGTGATTGGAGCAAATTATTTTGATCTCTCTGGCGTGTGACCTGGGGGTCACGAGTGATATCCCACTAGCGAAGTCCTAAGGGACTACGCACCTATTCGTAGAACTTAAGTTACATTAGGTAACCATTAATTACGCACACACAAATATTATTGGAACAATAATAGCTCCATACTCTATCATTATTATTATCATTATTCATATTATTATTATAAAAGCCTCATATTCTGATGTTACTTTTTGGATACATGATATCATTTTGTAACACTAACCCCTTGAACAACATTTATTTTTGAGTTTAGGGAAAGAAAACCTTTTTTTTACTGGCTTCACTGGTACCAGGCATCAGTAGATATTTAAACTTAAATCTTTTCCCCACATAAAAACATGTATCCAGGAAATGTATGGACTTTTGAACCATAATGCACGTGCTATTCATCCATACACTCAATAATTTTTCTTTCTTGTAGCATTCTGCAATTATGAACTCAATTTACGATCTGCGGAGCTACAGATACAAACAATTAGGCATTGATCAATCCTGCGTCCCTAGTGTGGGAGGCTGATCACATGTGAAGAGGCCAAATCATAGATCACACGTTTGTTTACACCGTGCGCCGCGTCATGAATGAAAACAAGCTTCAGAGGAGAATTTATGCCCAAATGCTGCACCATCTGGACGGAAGCGGGGAGCCAGACGGGGGACCGTTCGCAAACAGCGGCGGCTTGATGAATTGGACTTGGCATCGATACGAATAGGGAACTGGGTCCTTCTCATAATGATCCAGTGCAGCAGGATGACGTTCTGTACCGACTTTGTGTGGAGAAAGTCAGAGGATCTATCATTTCTCACAGGAAATTCAGCCTTACAACCAAAAATAGAGAATAAAAACGTGGGTGAATGACCTTGAACTCACAACCTTAGAGTTTTCTTAGAGCCACTGCCAAATATTCTTTTCCTGAACATACACGATACAGACAAGGAACCTTTGTCTTGAATCGATACCCTCATTAGACTCAGGGGTACATAGCCATCTTACTACAAGGGCTAGCAGGGTCGGAAACCATAGTCAAGGGCCTAAAAGAATTGAATTTAAAAATAATTACATTACATACATATTTTGCAACATAAATAAACTCATAAGCGCCCCCCATGTTTTCAAGTTGTAGAACAAGTTTTATTTATGTACTTGTCTGGTGCACACTGGGGACTTTGGCAAATGTATTCCAATCTGGTTTTACTGCAAATGGCAAATCTGAATCTGATCTGACCCACCCTATCAGATAACATTGATAAATATGACTGATTTCCTTCCCTAAAATGTCACTGTTTTAGAACTTGTTTCAAACTAATGCTAGTAATTCAGTATCAGTGGTATCGTCTCAGAAATATTATATCTGATAGGGTTTTTTTTTTGTGCAGTGTATTTTTCAAATCCTCAAACCAACAATATAAGCCCGAAATGTAGTTAAACTCAACCAGATGTACGCATGTGAAGGCGCCCCAAAATGTTCAAGTTATTTTGCCATTGAAAGATATCTAAAGCCACCTGTTTCTTTGAGCCAGAACAACTCGGCCCGTTAGAAAAAGCCATACATTAATAGCCACTTGCACATGGCACGAATTCTAGATCTGGGCTGGAATTGGCTGGAACTCAAAATGTCCCGCGTGTATGTGTGATGCACTGGGCCTCTGCTAAAAAGACATTACGCAAACCATTAAGAGAATTATCCCTAATCAGACTGAACACTGGCACTCATTACAGCAGGATGTGGAGAGAGGCTTGGCTACTGGAGATACAAGGGAAGGAAGAAAGTACCAATTTGAAGTCTGGATGCGGGCGAAGGGGAAATGGGTTGTGTGGATGAAAAGAACATTTTAACAACTATTATCATCAAATACTAGGGCTGTAACAAAATATCATATCGTTTTTGTATTGTAGTTAGTCACGATGACAAGTATTGTTTCTTAATACTTTTAATGTCTATCCATCCATTTTCTTCTGCTTTATCCGTTGCCGGGTCGTGGGGGCATTCAAGTGTACAGTTTGAATATACAGTCTCAAAAATATTGCACCATATTTGCACTTTCGAAGACTTCCGTTTCAGAATTGACGGAGAGAATATTTAGAAACTTGACTGGGTTTTGAATTTCTATTATGATGCTGTATAAAAGAATCTAATTGGAGAATATTGAGATGCAATATATTGGTAATTGCAAAATTGGACCAAGTGTCTTTTTCACTTTTCTAAAATATGTGACAGAGAAACAAAAATATGTGCGAGTGAAAACAAGTGATAGAACCAGGCTGTTTTGAGAGTGAAGAAGTTAGATTTTATTGCCATGTTCCACTTTAAAGGCATAGCCATCCAACGATTGATTAAAATCTTTGAATTGAAGATTTCAATCGTGGACATTTGTGTTGCAGGGGCCTTGTTCAACTAGGATAAATATTTTTTTTGTTCTGAAGAGGAGACGCCATTTCAGTTTACATTTGTGTCAATTAGAAAACAAAACACATTTTTTTTAGACTGACCTAAGATAAGATTGACTTTATTGATCTCACACAGGAGAAATTTACATGTCACATTTGGCATGGATAAAATCACTCAAGATTGTGCAAAAGAAATGTGCAAACATGTTAAATGCAGGATATATTATGTACAATAAAAAGTGGCCATTGCTTCCAAAATCCCGTAAAATTTCTAACTGAATTGGTTGGGGAACCCTTTGGAACACTAACAAATGGCTGGTCTCCTTGTAAAGCTAAAGCCCTGTACTTTTATCCTCTGATGACTCGGAAGTTTGAGAGTATTCCCATTTCTAATAAAAAAAAGTCTGCCAACATTTTTCATGGTAAATATACAGAAGGGTATAGCTGCTTAGTCATTCTACAGTCAAAAAGATTTAGGATTTTAACAATTCCCTTATCACAGCTGAGGCAAAAAGCCCCAGGCGGTAAAATCCCTATTAACTTATGAAAGATTTTGGGACTATATTATGGAGAGAGCAACTCATTCAAACCTGTCCAGATTCATCCCAGAATATTTGGATTTGAGTCTAAATAATAGGGAAAAATCTTTATAAAATCATTCATATTTTTGCAACACATAAAAACGAGAGACCTGACACATCGGTGTAGTCAGTTTTTTTATGAGATAGAATCATGACCAGGACCAGGGTCATTAGTTGGCGCGGTTAGATCTATGCTTGTTAAACACGCAGCAGAGACACATTAAGGATCACTGGGATACCGACCTTAGCAGAGTGTTCCATGGTGACCACTACCTTCGTCCCTGCGCTGGCCACCAGATCCATGGCACCTCCCATCCCCTTCACCATCTTGCCCTAGAAACACACACAAATTGGCCATTAGACAAATGCTGAGTAAAGCGAGAACAGATTGTGTGCGATAAGTGAACCAAAACTGGCACATGACATCCAGACGTGTATTTACTGTCACTGTCTTCAAGTTTACTCCCTCATTTTATAACTACTCAGAAGTATTTTCAAACTAGAGCAGAAGGAGAATATTGCTTTAGATTAAAAACACAATCCAGGACATTAAAAGATTTGCGAGACACCAATTATAGTCACAAAGAACACAGAGTTTGATTACTCTACAGCGTATTAGAATATGATCTCTAAAAAGACTTAAGATGTTATCTATGGTCTGGCCTACAGATTAAAAAACTTCATTAAGTAAATGAATATATTCAGAGGAAATCTCACTAATCTTAGAGTGTTGGAAGAGTGAGATAGTCTGTACATGGGCTCCCACCCAATGCCTGCGCTGGAGCTCAATGATCCTGAGTCTTCCAATCAAATATAGATTTGATTTATTTTACTGGAAGAAATATGTAATAATTGTGTCGAGACGAAGAACAATTCTGTTCCTTACAATGATTATTGAGTAACTACAGTTATGGCAAGAACAAAGTATCAGTCTTCAATCAGCTGATATCAGTACAACGCACTGTGATGCACTGTGTGTTATGAGAATGTTTGCTGTATCGTAATCTTCAGAAGAAGAATCACAGAGTAACAAAATAAAACAAGTTGTGGAGGAAGAAAATGACTGATTCTATCAAAAAGCAGACATTAAACACCTGACAGATCAATGTTTCTTTCTAATAATGCACATTTCCAAATCAGAGGGTTGCAGAGATGTCTGCAGGGTGACGGCTGAGTAACTGTATTAAAATCCCATTTGCTCATCAGTCATGTGAAGAGGCGTCGAGCTGCTGCTGGATAACCAGGGGATATACAGGACGCCCAGTGTGAAGCATCAGAGGCTGGTGCCTCTGGGGAGGCCAGCTGGACTGAGCAGATAGCACTCCAGAGAGCCAAGACTTGATTATATTAGTGTGACAATACATGTTTGATTATGGAGGGCAAGAAGCCTGCTTGTGCATACTTTGTTTATACCAGAACAAATTGTAATAATTAGCCCTACCAGTATATACAACATTTACTCACCAGAATGTGCACATACATTTCAAAAATGAAAACTGTATTCATAATAAATGGTAAGAATGGTGAGGTGTGGATCTAGTAAATATAAAAGTGAATTCAGATGTGAATAATAATTGACGTGTAAGAGCATCAATATACTTCAATACACCAGTACAGTATAAAAATGAAAGAATCCTTTTGAAATGTTTGGCCAACAGCTAGCTTGTTTCAAACAAATTCAAGGTATTCTAGTGTAAGAGGTTGATGTCAACTACCAACGTTTATTTTCAGGCCGTTTCAGGAGAAAAAGATTATCCGCACAAGGCACTGAGCATGACAGGCTATTAATCCACATGCTGGGTGTTGTCCTTGTGATCAATGTTAATGCACTTTGTGACAGCTGCAGCGCTGCAGAGCGCCTGAAGGGGTCACACCGCCTTTCTAACCTCATAACACACAGCTTCACCATCACAATCTATTCCACAGACTGGAAGTGACTCATTTCCATTCAGATACATCTTTGAACGTCCAGCAATTATTGATCTACCTTGGCTCAAAGGCTCATTTCTTTTGTTCATTCAATAAAGGAAAAACGGTTTACCTGTGCGCTTCAAATAGGACAATTTATATGCAACAGCTTAGTTTGTTTCTTTGGAAGGGACAGTGCGTAGTAATAAACAGCAGTTCTGTAAATTCACAGGATTGTAGCCTCGGGAGACCAGTCATTTGCATCCGTTGTCGCACTCACAAACACACACTCATTCTACCTGAACAACTGTTTTTAGAGGTAGGAGAAACTGGAGCATCTGGAGGAAACCTGACACACCTGAAACGCAGACACAGGGAGAACATGCAAACTCCACACAGAAAGTAGGAGAACCCAGGACGGTATACAGTATAATGCTTATGTTTTTGGGGCACCCAACTTTCAAGTTACAATAAGTGAACTAAGCAATACGATCTCTAAACCGGTTTGGTTCAATTCAATATCACTAAAATCTCTAGTTATCACATGCATGTAGTTCCACATCATTAAATAATCTGTTTCAGGTGGAAAGATAAAATGAGAGGCCCCACACGGCTCGTCCAACAGGCAGCAAAAGATTTTTATTTTTTTTAATACAATAAAGACACATTGTGGTCTGATTTGCTGATTTTTACTTTTATAAACTCTTTCTGTTGGGACAAACAAAACACATCATTTACTAAAGACAAAGTTAGGTACCAAAGCTTTAACCCTTTAATGGTTTAATTGTTTCCTTTGGGTTTGACGGCTTCCTTTTCACAATATCTAGTTGCTTGGAACTGGAATCTACCTCATTGGGGCATCTCACTTGGTTTAGGCACTTTTACCACCACACTACATCTCAACCATGTGGTTAAATCCTAAAATAAAAACGAGGGGTGTTATTGCTGCTCCTAAATCAAAAATCAAGTTAACTTTGGGCTTTAATGTATATTGGAGGCTTCAGAATCACGTTTGATTTAAAAATTAAAAATAGCAGTATAATATACACACAAGTAAGGACACATTAATCAGAAGTTGCTTAAATGATTCTTTTATCAACACTACTATCATTTTCATCTAAGAAAAAGTCATTCCATTGTATCTAAACATTTCAAGAAGAGATATAAACCAGAAAGAGAGGATTTGACACAAGTCTCCATTTTCTTCACGTGGCTTTGACAACATTAACCTGCTGCCACTCCGCTTTGGCTTTTCTAATCTTCAGTTGCACATCACGCTTCCTATGAAAACGTGCATGATCTTAAAAGACACAAAGATCATATTTGGAGAATCGTCAGGAAGAAGAAGAAGAAGAAGAGGTACACTCAGAGGAAAGAAAGTTCCCAAATGATGTTTCTTAGCACGGCTTTTGGAAGAACTTAGCTGAACCTGTTTGAGGTGGGATTTCAACACACATGGTCTATTAATTGGGCCACAGAGAATATGGTCTTGAGTAAAAGAAGCAAAGAAAAGTTAAACTAAAAATGGCGGGCGTTGAAATGTAATATAACAGAACTTTTGACTTAACTTTGATGATGACTTTCACTGAAATATGGTCTTCTGAATTGTATGTGTGTATTGATCTAAAATAATAACACCCTCCATATAAAAGTTCCAGTGCATGACTACATTTCAGCCCACACGTGCTTTAGATTCTTATAAATGCACAGATCTTGTCTCCAGTCCTCGCAGATTTCATCATACACCATTTGGCACATTTTGTATTTCCTTTATTATTGCGTTGAAATTAATTAGCCAGCGGGGTGGTTGTCCTGTTGCCCACGCGCACCCTAATTAAATAAGCGTTTGAGAAGAAGTGATGGAACCTTCTTTGCATAATGGATTTAGAAGGAGCTTATAGAATTGGGGGTTATGGGATCCAGTGACGGAGAACCAAGAGAGAAGATGAAGCACAGATCCATCAGCAGCAGACACAGGAGAAACAAGTTCAATATTTTTTGCAGTCATTTTTTTCCCCTTAATATTGTGGATATACTTATTAAGCATGAGCCCCGAACGGGGTAAGGGCCTATTGCTTTCACAATGGTGAATGCAAGTGGTGGCGGTGCGTGACGGACTCAAACGCTTTAAAATGATGTATCATGTGCCATTGAAACCTATATTGTTTTTGCTCGAGACGTCGAAAAAAAATTCCTTTATTTTTTTCTCCTGCGCCGTTTGCCTTAATTTGACCCCCTGAACATGCATGAAAACTTGTTAAATTTTGCGGAATGACGTGGTGCGGGGAATCGTTCGGTGTGGCGAGGGGTGTTCAACGCCGCTTACGGCTTTAATCTTATGATTTGCTTTTCTAATTAAAAAGCAAATCTCTAATTTTAGTGATTTAGAAACTATTACATTTTTTAGATTAAGTACAAGTAAAAATGTAAAAACATTTGGTAATTTTTACACTTTCCACAATATCTTAATTTATCGAGTATGTCTGTAGTGCTACGGGGAAAATAAAGTAGAACATAAATTAACGTAGCGTGGTTTTGCCATGACTGCATGGGTTCCCTACCGGTGCTCCAGTTTCCCGTAAACAATAGCCCTCTCAACAGACCCGTGTCCGAGACCTGGACTCCCCTGTAAAAAAGATTCTGAAATCTCAGTGGGACTTTCCTGGTTAAATAAAGGTTAATTAATCACTACAAATACATTCCTGGCAAAACAAAGAACGCAGAGAATAAGTTCTGCCAGGACTCACATAAGAGACCCTGTTATGGAATATTCCCTGGACAGACCTTGTGTGGCATAGCACAATATTTATGCAAAACATTATCCAGTAATATTAAACTGAATGTGCCTATAACTCGCTATAAGGCATCAACTTGTTTAAATACTGCGTAAATTATACAGTGTTTGTTTATTGGGGAAAATGAGGACAGTGGTAGAGTCTCTGTTCAATAGCAGTCGTCATCATTAACCTGAGCAGAGCTGGTCCACGGACGTCAGGGCACACGCACACGACTCTCTGTGTATTACGTGAGAGGTTTTACAGCCTCCAAACAACTGAGACCTGGTCCTGAGACCTAAGATCTTCTGGTCACACAGTCTGAACCCACACAGCTGGAGGCTCTATGGATGTTTTATGTATGTTTGAAACGGGAGAATAGCATCTCCGTGCATAACACGCCAGAATAGTGAGAAATACTTTGGACAGAGTTTTGAATTCGAGGGTAGAGAAACAGTGTGGGCCCCAGTTTGGCTTCTGCACTGAGGTCTGACATTACGCACAATGAATCTCCATTCAGTGTGTTCCATTTAATTAGGTAGAAAAAACTCTCGCCCACTGTACTTGTATACACCAGTGTTTTTTTATTTACAGATGCAATGTTTCGGCCGTGGGCCTTCCTCAGGCAATTGGTGCCCATTTAATTAACCA